TTGGCTCAGTGGATAGAGCGTCTGCCTGTGGACTCAAGGGTCCCAGGTTTGATTCCAGTCCAGGGCATGTACCGTGGTTGCGGGCACATCCCCAGTAGGGAGTGTGCAGGAGACAGCTGATCGATGTTTCTAACTCTCTATCCCTCTTCCTTCCTCTCTGTAAAAAAATCAATAAAATATATATATTTTTTAAAAAATCCTAACCTCTAAGGGGGATGGCATTAGGAGGTGGGGCCACAGGGAAGTTACTAAATCAGAGGGCACAGGCTTCATGAATGGGATTCGTGTCCCTATAGCAGAACCCCAAGAAAGTCCCTCTGCCATGTGAACTTACAGCTAGAAGGCCGTGTCCATGAACCACAAAGCTGGCTCTCACTAGATGTCGACACTGCCAGGGCCTCCATCTTGGGCTTCCTAGCCTCCAGAACTGTGAGGAAGGCATTTCTGTTATTTACCAGTTACCCAGGCTGTAGTGTTTTTTCTAGAGGCCCGAAGACACTGCGACGCCCAATCTGCTGTGATTTGTTACCGCAGCCACAGGAAATGAGCCCCCAATGCTATGGGTCCTCAGAACACGCTGTGAGGAGCAAAGCCACCTACAAGCCAAGCCACAGACAGGTGGTTGTCAACCCTGGCTACGCATTAGCATCACCTGGGATGAGTTTGAAACATACAGCAAAAAGCAATGCCCAGGTCCCACTGTTGGAAGAGTGAAGGCAGAACCTGTAAGGGTGGCGGCTAAGCATCACTCTCTACAGGCTCCTTGGGTGAAACTGATCAGAAGGTAGGGAGGAGCTGTCTCATGAGAATAAACCCAAAATACAACTTTTCTTGTGTTCAAAGAAAACTCCTAAGCTCCCCAATAGTAGATGGACACACTAGTCCCCCCCCCCCCCCCCCCCCGCAACACACACACACACAGGGAATACTATGCCAGCTTCTCAGTGAGGCCTGGGCCAACACCTCACGTGAAAAATTAGCAGGCTGTGTTCAGATTTGTGTCTCGGGCTTATGAAGAACGCCTCAGCCTTTCTTTCCACAGGTGGGAGCTATTGCCAGTACAGCCTGCACGAGGCCGGGTGGGTTAGATCTGGACCAGGCTTTGCTCAGTTCCCTCCAGGGCGAAAGCACAGCCAGGGGCGGAGGCCCCGCCCTGCAGATTGCCATTGGCCCCGCCCCACTCGGCTGTAAAAGCCCAGACCACGCCCACAATCCATAATGCACGTGACACCTTTTGAGTCTGGGGATTGTTGCGTCTGGTAGCCGCCCTCAAAAAGGCAAATTACTCCCTGGTCCTCGGGTTTCCCTCTGATGTGGGGAACATGAGGGCCTCTTACAAGCCGCGCAGGGCATCCTCCCGCCGCCTGGAGAGTCCCTTTTCTTGGGGCTTCTTTGGGATCCTAGTGCTGGCCCTAGAGCTCCTGCTACCCACATGCTCAGGTAGGGAAGGGAAAGGGTGTCAGCTCTGGAGGGAAACTAGAGCGGGTAGGGGAGCTGGTCTACAGGAGCGGAGGGCAAAGGGAACTTTGCTTGGTGTGTGGGGGAGGAGGCTCAGGGCTTGTGGACCAGGTGATGCGGGGTTACGGTAGAACCATTAGCCACATTCCTCCGGGTTGTGCTCTGGCGGATTCAGGAGGGTGGGACCTTCAGGGTCGGTTGTTTGGTGGTACGCAGTGAATCTTGGGGAGCCCTGGGCGAAGTCAGTGTTTGCCCCTAGCGAAAGCTTGCAGCTATTTGATGACTGAGCTGATCAAGAACATATATGCATAACCCATGGACACAGACAGTAGTGTGGGGAAGGCCTGGAGTGGGTCGGGGGCTGCGTGGATGGGGGAAAAGGGGTATGTGTAATACTGTCAACAATTAAAAAAACAAAAACAAAACAAGATGGGAAGCCCTGCCCAGGTGCTGAAGTGTGTGGGGTGTTGCTTGGGCCAGTGCTGGGCCCGTGGGGAGGCTTTGCCCTGTGTCCCCTGGGCTTAGTGAAGCCTTGGTGAGTGGGGTGCTGCGCCCCACTGGGTTGGGCTGGGGGAGCCCAGGCCGGGTGTTACCAGGCATATGCTTTACAGAAGGGTCCAGGCCAGAGGTGCAGGGTGTGGGGCAAGGAAGCTCACTGCTTGCTTTGTATGGGGTTTGGGGAGCGCGTGTTACCCAGAGAGCCCTTAAGTGAGAGCGAGCTCCAGGGCCTGGGGTTTAGAAGGATTGGGAAGGACACGCAGTGCTTTCTGTACAAAAAGGGAACAGGCTGCTTGTTGCCCCCAATCATATAGGTATTGCTCTCCAGGCTGTTGCGTTTTTGGGTTTTTTTTACCATTGAATCACCTTCCTATTCCCATCCAGTATGGATAATGACCTATGCTACTCCCGAATGTCTTTTGGTCAGTGTTTTTTCTCTTTTTTCATTAGGTTGGGTCCCATCTAAGGGGAGATTAGAAGCAACCTGAAAAGTACTGGTAGCCAAACCTAGTGAAAAATGAGAGTTATTAGAAATGAACAGTAAATTATACCAATAGGTTTTTCTCCTATAGCTGATAAATTAAAGCTGAAGGCCATCCACCAAGTTTGGTTCCTGTTTCATTGAATACAATCAATACTGTATACATATATATGCATATTGCAAAACATACCATCGAAGGGCAACGAATGAATACTTTGGTGTATTTCCAACCAACTTTATATGCCTGTGTTTCTATTCCCAAGTGATTTTTAGGATCCTATTACATATACAGTTTGTATGCTGCATTCTCTCCTTAGGAGAATTCATTCAATAAAATTGATTTGCCTTGTATGAGCCAGGCCCTGTGCTGGTTCTGGGGACACACTGGTGACCAATAACAAACCATTCCTATTTTCATGATCCTTATCTGACACTTTGCCTGTTTGCACACGCACACACATGAACATAAACAGCGACTGTGTTTTGCTCACTGTTAGATCCCCAGTGCCAGGCGCACAGTAGGCAATCAATAAAGATTTGCTGAAATGTACTGGGACTGGCGGACAGTAACCAGACCACAACGCTAGTGTTATTACCCCAGTCAGGTGCCCTGGAGGAAGGAACATGCTTCTCTGAGAGCATTTAACAAAGAAGGGTTGGGAGGGAAGGCTTTTCTGCTCAGAGGATTTGGGGCTTCTGTGCTTGCTGTCCCCAGGCTCCTCCTTTCTCTTGCATAATTGGCCCCTTGTCCTTCAAACGTGGTTGATGTTACACCATTAGGGACCTTCTCTGAGAAAACTATTTCAGGGAGACGCACACACTCCAGCTCAAATTCCCCTAACCTTTTGTCCCTCTTTCCAATCTGTATGTTCTCTCCTAGCTCTACTAGAGTGCAGAGATCCTTTCTGTCTCGTTCCACTGGTGTTTGCAAACGCTCCATGTCTTTGCCGTGGTACCACCACTCTTCCATAACTAGTGATTTCCCGAAAAATGAAATATAACATTCAGTAGGAGCTAACAGGCCAGTAAACATTCAAATCCAACAGAAAAACAAAAACCACCTTGAGGAAAATGAAAATAAAAAATAGAACTAAAACCTTACAAAAGGTATGGGATACCACAAAAGCAGTTATAAGATGAAAGGTTATAGCTATACCGGCCTTCATCAGGAAAACAGCAAAAACTATGACTTCACTCATGTGGGATATAAAACAAAAAGCAACAAATGAAAAAAAAGCAAACAACACAACTCACAGTTACAGAGAACAGAATGGTGGTTACCAGGAGAGAAGTGGTGAGGAGGTTGAAGGGATGTGAGGGAAAGAGACTAAACTTCACAGTTAGAGGCTCCGGATGGCCTTTTACAACTTTGCACACCTGAAATTTACATAATGTTATTAACCAATATTACCCCATAAATTTAATTTAAAAAGTCACATAATTTTTGTGATAGAAATACAAATATATATTCTTAAAGTTTAACATCAATCTGACATAAGATCAATCCAGAGAATAAGAAAAGAGGTTTCTCAGGGATCAGCCTAGACCTAGCTCCTTTCTTAGATCCTTAATCTTATAGGAGGGACCTCTGCATGCTTTTAGCTCTTCAGGACTTTACTTGATGTGCCTCCATCACATTATCTTACATACTAATTCTATCAGCTTAGTTTTTTTGTCAAGCCCACAGACAATTTAAAGGAAGAGAAATGGCTGAAGTCAAAAAGGTACTATTCTAGGAAGAAAAAAAAACTACCAAAAATCCAGAAATAAAAAATTCTAATGGCATAGCAATATTATAATACAGTTTAAACAGCAACCTCAGAGAACTTTTGAGGCCAAGCATGATCCATTGATTAGAATTCCAGTGAAGGAAGAATAAATTATACTTAAAATAATGTCAGAGTTATAAATTTTGACATTTAATTGACCTTTATTTACTCAGTTCACTGATATGAAACATATGACATGAGATCATATATTTTAAAATAGTTTAGTCCATATTTATTTTGACCTATGAAATCCACGATGCTTATTTAAGAGTCAGCACTTACAATAGCATGTCTTAAGCACGCAGGGGGCACAGAGTGTAGTAGGAAAAGAAGGCATATGGTCTCTGACCTCTAGGAACGTGCCTCCTGAGAGGAGACTGAACCTCAAGTGACAAGTCATCATCAGTTTGGGTTTCAAACTGTGGAAGAGTGCTCTGAACGAGGGCTATATACTATAGAAGTCCTCTTAGGGGGGAGTTGAGTGTGAAATGAACTCAGGAAAAAATGGGAAGGATGCATATCTATAAATATATTTTAAACCAAAAATATTGCTGCTGTTTCTTCAATTTGCTATTGAAAGAATAGTCAGGTTATTCTCAAAGAAACCAAACACTAATAAGATGTTATTTAAAGCAAGCACAGCTCATCACCTGGTAAAAACCTGGCACAATCACTTAAAATCTGCCCAAGGACCTTCCATTTATTCCATACAACCTGCCTGCTGCTAGGCCATAACCCGTGGCTGTTGGAAAAGAAAATACTTGACTTTCATCTTCTTATTCTCTCATGCCCAGATGCCTGTGATGACCCACCAAGATACCAATCTATGAAAATCAAGGGTAATCCTAAACCCTCTTATAATGCTGGGGACACAATAGAATATGAGTGTCGCCTAGGATACAAGCGTATTATTCCTGTTCTTCCCATGTCTACTGTTTGTCAGCCCAGTAACACATGGGTACCTCCTCTCCAGGAGGCTTGTACAAGTAAGTACACAACATTTTTATTTTTATTGCTCTAAAGATTTTCACACATTATAGACTGCATATTCCACTATTAACATGATGGCTTTCTCATGTGGATGTAGATTTTATGTAGCAATATACTTTTTTTAGGCATTGAAAATCTCCAGGAAATTTTCAATTTGGCCATTAATTCTCTGGGTAAATGTGAATCTTAAGTTTGGCCATCAGTGGCAACATGGATGGACCTCACGAATATTATGCTAAGGGAAATAAGTCAGTCAGAAAAAGCTAAGAACCATATGATTTCACTCATATGTGAGTTATAAAACTGAAACTCCTAGACACAGACCACAGTTTGGTGGTTATCAGAGGGAAGAGTTGGAGTGTTATGGGGATGAAGGGTAAAGGAGACCAAATATATGTGATGGGAGATGATTTGACTTTGGGTGCTGGGCACATGGTGCAATATGCAGATCATCCTATATAATAAAAGGCTAATATGCAAATTGTCCCTACGGGTGGGAATTCGACCAACCAGGAGTTATATGTGTGCTGACCACCAGGGAAAAGCGCGGAACATGCAGGCGTTGGTGACAGGACAGGCGGCCGGGGGAAGGGAGACCCACCTGCCCCCTGCCAGCAGCTGCTAGGGACCCTACCCATGCATGATTTTCATGCACTGGGCCTCTAGTGTAACATAAAAGTGTACACTTGAAAGCTATGTAAGCTTATTAACTAATGTCACCCCAATAAATAAAATGTAATAAAAATAAATAAGACAAAATATTTCCATTGATTTAATAGCACAATGTAGAATTTTTATTTTGATTCAAATCTGTTTTGACATTGGTATAAAACAACGAATTTGAAATTTTCCTTTTAGAAAAGGCATGTCAAAACCTAGGAGACCTCGTAAATGGCGACGTAGTCTACGCTAATGGAAGTATGGAGTTTGGCTCACAAGCTCACTTTAAATGTAATGCTGGGTAAGTAAACTGCTCCTTGGAGGAAGAAGGTAAATGTGGAAGAAGGTTGCTGGTTCCATTTTTGGTTTGGTTCTCTTCTCAAGCATTTCCATGATGTTGATCTCATCTTGCTTTCTGTGGAACAAGTTGTACTTAATAGCCAATCAACCCTTGGGCTTTTTATGGAGACTGAAAAGATGTGCAATAAATAGAAAGAAATTTAAATTGAAGGAAAACAAAATTGTGTCATACTATAAGTAATAATAAGCCTATCATAGTCATTAAAAATGCAGTAATCGTGATGACATGATCCTAAATTAAACTATATAGTAGGCTGGAGGGTGAAAAGAGAGACAGGGAGTTAATCAGTTAACAGAAGAAATGGCAGGGGAGAGAAACCAAGATGGCGGCATAGGTAAACACTGGAAATTGCTGCCTCGCACAACCACTTCAAAACTGCAACTAAAAGACAAAATGGACATCATCCAGAACCACAGGAAGGCTGGCTGAGTGGAAATTCTACAATTAGAAGGAAAGAGAAAAGCACACTGAGACTCAGAGGAGGTGCGGAAGTAAAGTGCAGAGGTACTGAGGCACATGTGGAAAGGGCTGGCAACTGAGGGCACAGTTGTCTTTTTCAATAGAGAGGGAGTCTCAAGCTCCCGACTGCTCTGAACTCCAGTTCCTCTGGGGACACAGACTCATACAGGGAGAAACTGGACTGTCTGGCATCAGGTGAAACTCAAGGGCGGCTTTCTCTCAGAGGTGCTTGCAGAGATTACCGGGACACTTGAGACGCGTGGCCTCTTAGGGTAGGACTGAGGAGCAGCCATAGCTGCTTGCTACGTCCTGTTGATTCCCTGAGACCCCGCTTCACCCAAGCTGTGCACAGAGGCTTTTGCATATGAAAGGCCTGGCCCTTTACAATCTGAAAATTACCTAACAAACTGCAGCTGGGTCAGAGAGACCAGAACACCCAAAAGAAGGCCCAAGGCCCCACAGCAGCTTGCATTGCTTCACAGCTGGACCTCATCTGGGCACCTCCAAACCCCAAACAAAGAAGAGGAATCTGCAGATCTCTCCATAGCTCCTGCAGGGTTGCCTCAGGAAGAGGCTAAATTAGCACCTCCTTAGAGATCCAAGAGCCAGTGTACCCAGAGGTCAGAGTGGGACCATCCAGATTACAACTCCTCAGATCCATAAGGGACACACTCAGGGGCAGACTCAGTGAGCACCAAAGCTCCACTGAAGCAAGTCTTGCCCCAGAAGGGTGTCTCCAGCACAGAAGTTCTCCCACTACAGACACAGCTGATTCTCACAGCCAATTGGCCTGGAGGTCAATTCCCCCCAGTGATACCTACAACAATCAAGGCTTAACTACAACAAGACTGTGCACAAAGCCCACAAAGGGGTGCACCAAGAGTGTCCACCTCAGGTAATTGGGGAGGCTGAGCCACTGTGCCCTATAAGACACCTAGCACAGAAAACCACTCTATCAACACAGGGAAGCAGCCAAAATGTGGAGACAAAGAAACAGGTTACAAATGACAGAAATGGAGGAAAGCAAACTACACAATATAGAGTTAAAAACCACACTTTTAAGGTTTTTCAAGAATTCTCTAGAAACTGCTGATAAATTTAGTGAGACCCTCAAGAAATCTAGTGAGACCCTCGAGGTTATGAAAAAGGACCAACTAGAAATTAAGCATACACTGACTGAAATAAAGGATATTATGCAGAGTTCCAACAGCAGACAAGAGGATCGCAAGAATCAAGTCAAAGATTTTAAATATGAAGAAGCAAAAATCACCCAACCGGAAAAACAAAAAGAAAAAAGAATCCAAAAATATGAAGATAGTGTAAGGAGCCTCTGGGACAACTTCAAGCGTACCAACATCGGAATTATAGGGGTACCAGAAGAAGAGAGAGCAAGATATTGAAAACCTATTTGAAGAAATAATGACAGAAAACTTCCCCTACCTGGTGAAAGAAATAGACTTATAAGTCCAGGAAGCGCAGAGAACCCCAAACAAAAGGAATCCAAAGAGGACCACACTGAGACACATCATAATTAAAATGCCAAGAGCAAAAGACAAAGAGAGAATCTTAAAGGCAGCAAGAGAAAAACAGTCAGTTACCTACAAGGGAGTACCCAGGTACTGTCAGCTGATTTCTCAACAGAAACTATGCAGGCCAGAAGGGAGTGGCTAGAAATATTCAAAGTGATGAATAGCAAGAACCTACAACCAAGATTACTTTACCCAGCAAAGCTATTATTCAGAATTGAAGGTCAGATTAAGAGCTTCACATATAAGAAAAAACTAAAGGAGTCCATCACCACCAAACCAGTATTATATGAAATGCTGAAAGGTATCATTTAAGGAGAGGAAGAAGAAGAAAAAGGTAAAGATAAAAATTATGAACAACAAATACACATCTATCAACAAGTGAATCTAAAAATCAAGTGAATAAATAAGCTGATGAACAGAATAAACTGGTGAATAATAGAATCAGGGGCATAGAAAGGGAGTGGACTGACAGTTCTCAGGGGGAAAGGGGTGTGGGGGGGGTGGGGAGAGACTGGACAAAAATCGTACACCTATGGATGAGGACAGTGGGCAGGGGGGTAAGGTCAGAACGTGGGTTGGGAACCAGGTGAAGGGGAGCTATGGGGGGGGGGGGGGGAAGAGGAACTGTAATAATCTGAACAATAAAGATTTAATTTTTTAAAAAAAAAGAAGAAGAAAAAGAAATGGCAGGAACTAATGAAATGTGTGTTCAAACTTTGAATGAACATCCAGAGGTACTTCAGATTCGTGTTAATGTAAGAGCTAGTAGTGTAGCTGTTCTTCAATTAGGGCCAGCTAACCACCAGATTTCACTGCATCCTGCTTCCACAGGAACGTTTCAGACTGTCCAGCAAACTGGCCAAAAGCAGCAAACACTTCTTCCTCCCATCTATGCACCTACCCCAGAACTAGCACCACTTACCCTTCTTCCTACCCCTTATCTATAGCCAATGTGAATTCCTTCAAAATAACTTATATCTTTCTACTCAAAGCTGTAAAAGAACCCCCTTAAACCAGGATGGCGGAAATGCTTGCCTTCATCTCCCTGCTGCTGGTGGTTTAGACTGCATGCCCCGGACCTGGTTCTTTTTACATGGCTAGTCAGTAAACCTGTTCCTTCAGGAAAACTTCAGTCTGCGAAGGTTTTGTTTCACATCTTTATGCCATTGTGGTCAGAGAAGAGACATTGTATGATATCTAATCTTTTTAAAACCTATTGATTAGTTAATATTAAATTGTGGCTCATCATATGGTCTATCCTGGAAGATGTCCCATGTGCACTTAGGAGAATGTGTATTTTGTTCTGTGGTGCTCTGTCTGTGAGATCTAGTTAATTGTGTTCTGGAAGTCCTTTATTTTCAGTCTAGTTGTTGTGAGTAGGATATTGAAGTCTCCAACTATTACTGAAGAAATGCCTGTTGCATAGAAATGTGTATTTCTCGCTACAGTTGTCAGGCAAGACAGGTTTATTTAGACACTTTGCTCTAGGCCAGTGGTTCTCAACCTGTGGGCCGTGACCCCTTTGGCGGTCGAATGACCCTTTCACAGGGGTCGCCTAAGACCATCCTGCATATCAGATTTTACATTACGATTCATAACAGTAGCAACATTACAGTTATGAAGTAGCAACAAAAATAATTTTATGGTTGGGTCACAACATGAGGAACTGTATTTAAAGGGCCAGAAGGTTGAGATCCACTGCTCTAGGCTAATGTGTGTTCATATGAAGAATCTCTCCATTTCATTAAATTTTAGATTTAGTTAATTCATTCAATACCTGTCACTTCAGAAACTTCTCCCTGAAGCTACTGTAGTGCAGAAAAAAAATCATATAAAAACTTCTTCGTTATTATGTGTTCCTGTTAAATGATAAAGAAAACAATTATCATATCTTTTCTCATTTAGTTATTACTTACTTGGACCAAAAATTGTATATTGTGAACTCTCTGGAAATAATGTGGAATGGAGTGATAATCTACCACGTTGTGAAAGTAAGTACATTCTCTGTTTAGAATTTACAGCAGCAGTTCTCAAACTTTATGGCCTGGGGACCCCATCATGCTTTACAATTAAGACCCCACAGGGATTTTATGCAAGTGGGTTAGTGCTATTGATCTTCTTTATACTGAGATTAAAGCAGAGAAGTTTTTAAGTAATTATTTAATTCATTTTTAAGAACAATAATCTCAATACATGTTAATAAATGCAGCATATTTTTGTCCTAAGATGAAACATTTCCAAAAACAGTGGGAAGGGTGTCATTGCTTTACGTTTTTCTAATCTCTTCAGTATCTGGCTTAAAGGAAGAGCTCCACATTCATTCTGCAGCTTATCAGACAGTCTCAGGCCATTGGAAAATGTCACTGTGCACTCTAAGGATGACAGTGAGAAAAGACAAAATCGTGGCATACTTAAGAAAATGGGTTTTATTCTAAAATTTCATTTCTCTATTGATGGCTGGTATTGGGATAATAACATTTTTTAATAGAAACTTTTTTTCAAATGGATATTGAATTTGCAAATAGATGTAGAAATCATATGTTAATGAACTTATTGAAAGCATAATGCTGTCTTAATCTTTTACTTTTAATTGTGTTTTTCTGTCCTCTTTTTCCCTTTTTAAGAGATTTTGTGTAAACCACCTCCAAAAATTCCAAATGGAGAATTCACCAATAGCCACAAGGTTACATTTGAATATAATGAAATAGTAACTTACCGATGTAAGCCTTCTGGTGGACCAGATGAATATTCCCTTGTTGGAGAGAGCAGGCTTATTTGTATTGGGCACGACAAATGGAGTAGTAACCCTCCTGAGTGTAAAGGTAATAATATTTTCATTTCTTTCCCTCTCAATTATAAATGTTGTGGAAACTTTTACCAACTTTTAAATACCTTGGCCAACAAGTAAAAACAAAACAAAAACAGCCATATGTGCTTTAAATTTGTTTCTAAACTAATTTTATGTATCAAATAGAATAAAAAACAATTCTACTTGTAGAGTTTCCCACTCTTCACCCCCATGTTCTTGGCATTCCTGTTTATACATTATTAATAGCTATGTATATGCATGAGTTAAATTTTTTGGCTTAAAAGCATCAAAAAACACACTAGTTTCAAGAAAGTTTTTTAAAATTTTGTTTTATTGCTTAAAGTATTAAAAAGAATAGTACATAGGTCTCCATTTTTTTCCCCCTTTGACCTTCACCGAAAAAAAAAAGTTTTTATATAATACAAGAAGTATGACAGTTCTGGCTCAACTAAATGGTAGAATAAATTGTAAAAGACTAACCCTGTCACCGATAAGATTGATAAAGTCCTGGCAAAACATGCAGGCATATCTTTTTTAATTGTGCTTTGCTTTATTGCACTTCACACACACACACACACACACACACATATTTACAAGTTGAATACTGGAACCAGCAAAACAACTGTAACCTGCTTTACTTCCATACTCACCTATTGCTGTAGTCTGAAACAAACCTGAAATATATCAGAGGTTTACCTATACTTAAAAAACAAGACCTAAGACATTTGAGCATGACCAAAAGCAGGACACACTGGGAGGTATTTGACACTTGAACAAAATTAACCACTGAAAAACAGTAAAATATGTCTTCTTTTCACATGCATATGCAACATTTCTTAGTACCATATTCTAGGCAATATGTTTAAAAGTTTATTTTATTTCAAAAATTGAAATTATTTACAGTACAGTATCTTTACAATGGAATGAATGTAGAAATAGAAGTAAAGATATCTGTAAAATCCCTAAATATTTAAAAATTATGAAGATATTTCTAACTAACCATGAATAAAAGAAGGAGTCACAAGGGAAATTAAAATGTATTTTGAATTGAATGAAAATGAAAATACAATATATTGAAATATCAAAGTTTGTGGAATATAGCAAAAGCATTGCTTAGAAGGATATTCATAGCAAATACATATATTGGAACAAGAGAAAAGTTTCAGCTCAAGAATCTAAGGTTTCACTTTAAGGAATTAAAAAGGAAGAGCAAGTTGAATACAGAACAAGGAAACAGAAATAATAAAGATAGAAATCAATAAAATTGAAAAAATATGGAATTATTGAAACCAACACCTTGTTCTTGGGGAGGATCAATAATATGAATAAAGCTATAACCAGTCTGACAAAAAAGTAGACGACACCAATGACCAACATCAAGAATGGAAAAGAGGGCTTGACTGCTTTGGTTTAGTGGTTAGGGCATCAACCCAAGTGCTGAAGGGTCTATGGTTCAATTCCTGATCAAGGGCATATACTTTGGTTGCAGGTTTGATCTCCCACCTGGTTGGGGCACCTGCTGGAGGCAACCAATAGATGCATTATTGTCCCATCAATGTTTCTCTAGCCCTCTCTTCCCCCTCCTCCTCCCCTTTCACTCTCTCTAAAAACCAATTTAAAAAATATCCTCGGGTGAATATTTAAAAAAAAATATTTTTAAAGAGAACATCACTAAATATCCTGCAGACATTTAAACGACAATAAGCGAATAACATGTACAACTTTATGCCAAGAAATTTGACACTTAAACCTCACAAAGAGAACTGCAGGCCCCAGCCATCACTAGTTTTGTACCAACATTTAAGTATTCACAGTAGCAGCTCTGCACAAACTCTCCAAGTCAGTACAACAGGAGGGAATACTTCTCACCTCATCCAATGAAGACAGAATTACCCTGATACCAACACCAGACAAAATGTAGAAATAGGCTTACAAATTGTAGGAAAATGAAAAACAATATCCACTGTGAACATAGAACCAAAACTGTCAGCGATGGTCCAGGTCACCTCTGCCCTGAGATAGCCTCTGGCCAGACAGAGCACTCTGGTCTTGCTCGCAGGAATGAATTCAAATAAGAGACAACAAATAACAGCAAAAGCAGGGGAGAATTTACTTGCAGAGAAAGGAGTACACTCAGAACCTGAGCAGGCAACTCAGAAGGCTGACACCAAACCGAGTGCCCTGGTATTTGGGAGTTCGGGGGATTTATACCCCTAGACTGGAAGGCCCCTAGCAAGGAGCAAGTCACCTCCTCATGACTCATGAAAATATATCTTCAAACATAACACCTGAGTGAAGGTGCATCATGGGCCCTATGCATCGCTCAGATTTAATCTCAGAAGGTGTTTTCTTGTATGTACTGCCCAGCCCAGTGTTTTGTTTTGTTTTGTTGCTGATTTTCCAGTTTCTGTGAAATGCATGGCTGGATCCTGAAATCAATCTAGAGCAGTGGTTCTCAACCTTCCTAATGCCGCAACCCCTTAATGCAGTTCCTCATGTTGTGGTGACCCCCAATTTCATTGTTACAAATTGAACATAATTAAAGCATAGTGATTAATCACAAAAACAATATGTAATTATATATGTGTTTTCCGATGGTCTTAGGCGACCCCTGTGAAAGGGTCATTCGACCCCCAAGGGGGCCGCGACCCACAGGTTGAGAACCACTGATCTAGAGGGTCCTGCCCAGCACTTTACTTTGTAAGAAGTAGAACAGAATGGGAAGTACCGGAGTACATGGGTACCAAGACTAACTATGAAGTTTTAACTTTATCTCAGACCTGGGAGATTACAATATAAAATGTGGGGTTTGATCTCTGCATTCCAGTCCAAAATATTTGGAAAACGCAGCCCTGCATTCACTGGCCTTTCTATTTCTTGCACATCCCAGTTCTTGCATGTTGTTGATACCTGATAACTTTCTCTCTGCATATGTTTGCATGGCTAGCTTCTTTTCAGCTTTTTACCTTTTAGCTCAAATATTACCTTATTACAAGAGCCTTCCCTGCCTTTCTGAAAGGTCAGGGTACTAAGTCAGTGTCAACATGAAATTAAAAAAAAAAAACTTTTTTTTTTTTAATTCCTAGAGCTAAAGAGCATCAAAAGTTGCTTTTAAATTTTCCTGTATGTGGTAATCAGACCTTTCTCAAAACTTGTCAGTGAAGGAAAAACAATCATCTATACTGACAGTTTGTTCTAGGTGGGAAAAGGTTGTTAGATGTCTCTATATCTGTTCACCTGAAATTAAAATGCACAAATAGGCCTAGCTGTGTGGCTCAGTGGCTGAGCATTGACTTATAACCCGGGAAGTCATGGTTCCATTCTGGGTCTGGGTACATGCCTAGGTTTTGAGCTTGATCCCCAGTAGTGGGTGTGCAAGAGGCAGCTGATCAATGTTTCCCTCTCATGGATGTTTCTATGTCTCTCTCCCATGTTCCCTCTGTAAAAATAATTAGTTAATCAATTAAAACACTTATTTTAATACACAAATAAAGTATTTTTTATTTAATTAACATTCTGCCTTCCATTCCTTGCCTGTTTGCCCCCAGGGGAAGTTACTCATGTGCACTAGTTTTTCTTTCCCCTATTGAAACGGCTTTCCATTAATTCTGGAATTTCTTCATTTTTCAGTGGTCAAATGTACCTATCCAAATGTCCCGAATGGAAGAGTGGTGTCCGGATTTGGAAAAAAATATCTGTACAAAGCAGAGGTTAAATTCGAATGCCTTGCAGGATTTTACCTTGAAGGCAGCAGCACTATTGTCTGTGGAGCCGACAGTACTTGGAAGCCTAAGATCCCAACATGTATTAAAGGTGCAGAGGGGTCTTTTTGTCTTTTTTGTTTAGATTTTATTTCTTTGACATTAGATAGCAATGATATGGAATAATTGAAAAGAAACAGTTTTTTTAAATTAACTCCATCTCATATTCATTTCCATGACAGAGGTATGACATCAAATGTATATCACACAGGTGTCTCAATTTCTGGCATTTCTTATGTGTAAAAATGTATAGCAACCGTTTTTTCAGAGTCAATTGAAGCATGGGAATTTCTACCTAAAAAAGAATCTAAATTCTTTTTCATGTAATTCATAATTCCTATAAATTTAAAAATGCCTCTATATAATTTCAAAGTGATTAATCTCATTGTTATTTATTTATTTTTTTTAGGGGCACCACCTCGCAGTACAAAACCCACAACTTCCAGTTCCGCAGGTTTAATAACTTTCTGCTTATATTAATACCTTGCAATTTCTTTTTTACAATTCTTTAACTACCTGGTGATTTACACTCATTCACCATTTTTAGTAATGAAAGGAGGAAAAACATATTTACAGCCATTCTAGTTGGTATACTTCGTGATCCTAAAACTATCTGCCACAGTCTGCAGACATTGGAACCAGCTTGGCCATGTTATGTAAACCTTAAAAGTGTTTACTAATATATAAGATGATTGAATGCCTTCCTCACTGGTCGATAGTAGACTTAAACTGAGATGTACTCATATTTAAAGTGGTTAGCACAAGGCCTGGCATTTAGGAAGCTCTCAAAGGAAACTTATTTATGACTTGCAGCATCACTCCAATTAATGTCAGCGCGAAGGAGGGTCCGTGGCTTTTGTTCTTAATACATATGTTTTCTATGTCATCAACTTGGCCATTTTATTATTTGTAAAACGATCTGTTGACACCTTCACAAGGTGTCCTTGTGACCTAGGATGATGTTGTATTTCCCGGACTACACCCAGTTTCATTTGTTTCAGGACCTGGGAAATGTCTGCTGTCTCTAGAACAACCCTACCTCTTACTGCCTCCTAGAACTATTCTTTTTCTCTTTACTGGGCATTTTTATTTGGCAATAGAGGCAAATGTCATAGCAACGGAAAGGCAGGAGAAGTCCTTAATTATTGAAATGAAATGGAGGACTTCTTGTATGGACTGCTGGTCAACGGCTCTCCAAGACTTAGGAGATTATTTTGATATGACGGAAGAAATTGTCTTCCTGATTGTAGTGTGCTATCTCTGGCTTCTCTTTGTTTTCAGCAGAAACAAGAGACAAGAGAAACACAGTAGTCCTCACTTATCCACGGCTTCACTTTCTGTGGTTTCAGTTACCCACAACCGTGGTCTGAAAAGATTAAATGGGAATTCCAGGAATAAGTAATTCATAACTTTTAAATTACTTGCCATTCTGAATAGCATGATGAAATGTCACTCTGTCCCACTATTTCTCACCCAGGCCGAGAATCATCCCTTGGTTCAGTGTCTTCACCTCACTTTTTCTCATCATGTAGGCATTGTATCATCTCACATCATCACTAGAAGAAGGGACAATGCAGTGCAATAACATATTTTGAGAGGGAGACAACACATTCACATTTTTATTATAGGATATTGTTATAATTGTTCCATTTTATTAGTAGTTGTTGTTAGTCTCTTAACTTGCCTAATTTATAAATTAAACTTTATTATAGATATACATATAACATACATAGGGGTCAGTAGTATCCAGGTTTCCAGGCATCAGTGGGGGTCTTGTAATGTACCCCATGTAGACAAGTGGGGAACTAATGTAGTGGAAGAGCTTTAGCCTGGGCAGAGCTCACACAAGGTCCTAATTTGGCTCGACTTATTCCAATAACATCATTTCTGTGGGCTTATTTTCCTGTGAAACATGAGGGTGTTGAACTGGAGAAAATCTCAATTACTGGCTTCTAATGTGTTTGTATATTTCCTGTTGTCCTAATCATTTAAAAAGATTGTGGGGAATTATGCATGTTAACATGTTAACAATTAGAACATCTTTTTAGAATCCTCCTGTACCTGGAACCTGGTAGCTTCCTTGAGTAACTTACTTGAGTGTTACAAGGTTTTGAGGGAAAGAGATCATTTTTGGTGGACTGATACATTAAGGCTGCATGTGAATTTTATACTCATCAGCCCATCCGTGTTTGCTCACATGGTCCTAGTCAGTATATGCACTGTGGTATGCTGTGTGTGTTGATATGTTCTTTTAAAAGTCTTGGCCATAAGTATTTCAGAAAGGATTTATAAAACAGTAATACTGGTTAGTGTTTCAAAGAAGTGAAGATTGTGAGGAAATGTTTATAAAGAAGATAAACTACAGGGATCTTTTCTTAAATATCAAAAATCAAAATTCCTCATGGGACTACCATTTTATATAATTGGAGAAAAATATATAAAAAGGATCAGGAGCAACATGTAATAATGATAAGGTAGATTGAGGATAATTGTTCTAATATGAAAAAATACTAAGCAAAAAGCAAAGGGATAAGAATTCTGTGGTCTGATACTAATTGGATATAACTTTTTAAAGATACATATGTTTAGTTTGAATGTATTATTTTTATGATTTTTATTAGTTAATTTCTAGGATGTGCATTCTAAAATACAAAGCTATAGTGAGTATTCTTATGCAAAATCCATATGTACTTAGATCTATATGTATTTAGGTAACTTCCCAGAAGTAAAATTATAAAGATAGGAAAGTCTGTGTATTTTTCATCTAGAGAAATAATCTCTTTTAAAAAATCAAAAATAAAATTAAATCCTGATTTTGTATAAATAAAGCTGGTGAATGTAATCAAATTTATTTTTCCAGGTGTCAAGCCTACTGTTCCAACCACATCTACTAGTACAACTGCAAAAAAAACAGGTTCAGTAACTCTTTATTCTACTTACATTATTAAGAACTTAATAAGGTGATGAGCAAAAAATAATGTTATGTGTTAATTTGTATTTCTTTAATCCTATATAATAAAAGCCTAATATGCTAAGTGTCCGGTCATCCGGTTCTCTGTTCAACTAATCAGAGCATAATATGCTAATGATATGCTAAGTCTGCTCAACTGCTCGCTATGACATGCACTGACCACCAGGGGGGCAGACAGTTGACTGGTAGTTTAGCTTACTGCTGGGGTCCCGCTGATCAGGGCTGAGCAGGATGGGCCAGACATGCCCTGGACCCTCCCACGGTTCCTCCCCAGCTGGCCAACCTCCAGAATCCCTCCCCGGCCCCAACCGTGCACTGGTGGGGTCCCTTGACCTGGCCTGCACCCTCTTGCAATCCGGGCTGAGGGATTCCACACCCCCCACCCCCACCCCCCACCCCCCCAGTGCACGAATTTCATACACCGGGCCTCTAGTTATAAATAAAGCTGAACTTTTTTTGGCCCACATTGATTTATTCATGTTCTTTGCTCATTTTTCTTTTAGGTTTCTAAAATTTCTTTGTTGATTTGTCAGAACTCATTGTAAATTAATGCCCTTTTAACATGAAGTGACCATTTTTCTAGTTCTTTTTTCCTTTGTCTTATTTTTACTAATCAGTTTTCTTTTAAGATTTTATATGGTTAGATATAGATTACATTTTATAACTTTTAATTATATAAATAATATATAAATTTATAAAATTTCAAATATTACAAAAAAGTGTACGGAGTAAAAGATTAGTCTCCTGTTTCTCTATTTCATTTCCTAAGGTAATCATTTAATAGTTTTTTTTAATCAGTTTATGTACATTGCTATCCTTATATGCATAAATATACATACTTCAGTGTGTTTTTTTGGTTGTTGAACAGAATTGGAATCATGCTATTCATTTTTAAAAAAAAAACAAAAAAAACTCACATTATAATTTACTGTCAATTGGGGTCGTATTTGAATTTATTCCCATGCTTTTAGTGATGACTTTAATATATACCATATTTATTTAACTATTATCTTATCAGTGGTCATTTATATGTGCAGAAGTTTTACATTAGCAGGTGGTTGGGTGTATTAGTGTTTTCCTCCGTTAGGTATTGTAGGTACCTCATAGACGTAGAATCACTTCTGGATGATTTCACTTCGTAAAATGTGTTCTGGCTTATTTCACTTAGCGTAACAGTTTAGGTTTCATCTATTTTCCAGCATGTATCAGAACCTTATTCCTTTTTATGATTGAGTAATGTCCCATTGTCTGCAGTTACCACCTTTATTTTTGTATCCATTCAATTGGGTTGTTTCCAACTTTGGCTATTCTGAATATGCTTCTCTGATAATTGGCATTTGAGTAACTGTTTGAGGCCTGTTTTCAATGGGGGTGGGGGGGGCGTACACCCAGGAGTAGAGCTGCTGGGTTATGTGTTTACTTTTTGAGGAGCAGCCACACTGTCTTCCACAGCAGCTGCACCACTTCACACTCCCACCAGTGACGCACGAAGGTTCCAATTTATCCATCTCTTTACCAATACATGGTATTTTGTGTGTTTTTTTTTTATGAGTTTTATAGTTTTAGCTCTTATATTTAGTTCTTTGTTCCACTTTGTGTTCATTTTTGTATATGATGTAAGATAAGGATCCACCTTCATTCTTTTATATGTAGATATCCAGATTCCAAGAACCATTTGTTGAAAAGATTGCCCTTCCCCCATTAAACGTTCTGAGCACCCTTCCCTACAATCTTTTGACCCTATATGCACATGTTTATCTGTGGGCTCTGTATTCTATTCCATAGGTCTCTCTGTATTTATGTCTGCACCACAGACATAAAGTATTATAGCTTTTGATTATTATAGCTTTTGAGTAAGTTTTAAAATCAGAAAATGGGAGTACTCTCAACTTTTCTCTTCCATTTCAAGATTGTCTTGGCTATCCCTAGTCCCTTGAAGTTCCATATGAATTATATGTTGGAGTTTTCTATTTCCGCAAAATACTGTATTCAAGATGGTGATGGGGATTGCATTCAGTCTGTAGGTTGCTTTGTGCAGTGTTAACATCTTAACCGTATCAAGTCTTCCAGTGCGTGAACACAGGATGTCTTTTCATTTATTGATACTGTCTTTTTCTTTCAGCAGCGTTTCGTAGTTTCCAGTGTAGGAGTCTTTCACCTCTTTGGTTAAATTTCTTTTTAAGTTATTTTTTTTAATCCTCAACCAAAGATATGTTTATTGATGTTAGAGAGAGGAAGGAGAGAAGAGACAGAGAAACAGAGAGAAACATGGATCAGCTGCCTCCTGTATGTGCCCTGGCCAGGGGTCTGGAGTACAGGACAACTCTCCAACCAGCTGGGCCACCTGGTCAGGGCAGTATTTTACTCTTTTTTTGATGCTATTGTAAATAGACTTGTTTTCTTCATTTCCTGTTTGGTTTGCTCATTGTTAGTGCATACAAATGCCACTGATTTTTACTTGTTGATTTCCTACACTGCACCTTTGCCACATTTATTTTTTAGTTCCATCAGGTGAGTGTATGTGCATGTACAGTATATATGTGTGATCTTTACCAGTTTCTATTTTTAAAAAAAGACATGTCACCTAGAACAGATGTCATTTCATTCCTTCCTTCTCAATTTGGATACTTTCCTTTCTTGCCTAATTGCTCTGATTATAAGTTTTGATATTATGTTAAATAGAAATGTCAAACAGGAGCATCCTGTCTTGTTCCTGATCTTAAGGAGAAAACTTTCAGTCTTTCACCATCGAGTATGGTGTTACCTATGAGTATTTCCTAAATGGGCCCCATTTTATTGAAATTTCTCAGCATTACCGAATAGCCTCTAAATCATTTATTAAGCTCTCCTGTGTCTTTTAGTTGTAAGTAGAATCACATTGAATCCATAGGCTAATACTGAGGATACACTAATGATAAATTTGCATTCTGTACCACAGAATATTGTCACAGGAAATGTTACTGGAGAGGAAAAGGAATGCTGATGACTGAATATATATTTATAATATTTTATGACACTACTTTAAATGAAAAACATTAATATAATTTATGTAAGGAAAATAAAATGATAAGGGATTTTGAACAAAGTCAAAAAATCCAAACCTATGTATTTAGGAGTCTTCTTTGATTTACTATTTTTTACTTCTTTTTAAAATATTTTTCCTTTTTTTCCTAGTATATACCACTTCCGATGATGATACACCAATTAAAGGCAGTGATTTAGGTATTATTTTGTTATTAATAATCCTCCATTATGAGACCTTGGAGTTCTCCATAGAAATATCATATTTCAATTATCCGTGGTTTGAGAAGAAACAACCTGTCATGTGATAGTTGACATTTGTAATTTTAATAGCACAGATACCATGACAAATGGAAGCAGTAGTATGTGTAGACACATGGAGATAATACAGGCTTTTTTTATTGTTTAAAGTATTACATGTCTCCTTTTTTCCCTGGTTAAACCCCCCTTTCCCCTCCCCTCCCCACCACTCCCCCTCCCTCCCCTCCGGAGATAATACAGTTTTGTTTTGTTTTAAATATATTTTATTGATTTTTTACAGAGAGGAAGGGAGAGGGATAGAGAGTTAAAAACATCGATAAGAGAGAAGCATCGATCAGCTGCCTCCTGCACACCCCCTACTGGGGATGTGCCCGCAACCAAGGTACATGCCCTTGACTGGAATCAAACCTGGGACCCTTCAGTCCCCAGGCCGACGCTCTATCCACTGAGCCAAACCAGCCAGGGCGATAATACAGTTTTTAAGAGGTCCCTCAAATCGAATTCCTAGTAGGGGAGGGAACTTTCTCAATTGCTGTGTTTATTTGTACGTTAAAATTTATAAAACCTAATGTGCCTTCCATGTGATAGTGTTATTTTGTAATGGCAATTTGTAAACAAATGTTCTGTCTATTCATACCTTGTATACACAAGCCTTAACTTACTGTAAGTTGGGTTAGTTTTTTTCTATAACAGGCTGGTGTAGCACGCTTTATTTAGGCTCATGTAGTTCACACAATGTATGTTAAAAAAAAAAGGATAAAGTATGGTTGTGGCAGTTACGTGAAATATAAGGATTTTTGATAAATGAGTGAAGAAAAGCATGCATTACTTTTCTTTACATTAGACTAGATTAGCAAGGTTAGTCTTTTATAAAATGCACCTTAGACTGTTAAACTTTTACTCTGAACACTGTGGTCAAACTGTCACCGTGCCAGTAAATCCAAAGCACCTTCATTCATTAACCACTTCACAACTTTTTATGAAGTAAAAAGAAAAGAGGTAAACATGATATTGTATACTTTGACATATAAACATTTAATGAAAATAATGGCAGTGTGGAAGCAGAGGCACTACCGAACAACATTTCTTAGATTTAAGATTTTGTAGTATTATTTATTGCTCTCCCCAATTAAACAAGAATGCATGTTCAAGTTTCTATGCATCATTTATCCATGTGCCCTGGAGTTTCATTTGGATTCTTAGAATGTTCTTAGTAATTAAGTTGTGTCTTAACTTGGGGATGGGGGCTTGCGAAGACTGTAAAATAGGACTATATAATCAAATAATAGAAATTCATTAATGGCTCATTCCACAGACTCACTTTTGGGGAACAATGAAAATGAAATTTCTAACAAAATAATAAGAATGATAGACTGAATTAAACCAATGAGCTCTGGTCGGTTTGGCTCAGTGGACAGAGCGTTGGCCTGCAGACTAAAGAGTCCCGGGTTCAATTCCCAGTCAGGGCACATGCCCAGATTACAGGCTCCATCCTCAGTGGGGGGGTGTGCAGGAGGCAGCCAATCAATGATTCTCTCTCATCATTGATGTTTCTAACTCTTTCTCCCTCTCCCTTCCTCTCTGAAATCAATAAAAATATATTTTTTAAAAAAACGAGAATGGGATACCTTCTTAAAATGATTTTCCTCTAACCTAAATTCTCATTTTTATAATACTTTCTTCTAATTTTTATGATAATTCCAATTTTTATAACCTGGTGGGGTTACTACAGCACAAAACAAGGACAAGTGAGGGCCTATTAAGAGTTTCACAAGTTGGACCCTAAACCTGGAATCAGATTAGAAGGGCTCTGTGATCAAAATGACTTGAACGCACTAGCAGTCACGCTAAACTAGACCAATGAGCATTTTCTTTGCTGTAGTTTACAGATGATCTCATCAAAATTAAAATGTGTCAACTATATGGAGACCCACATGTGCTCAATTACCTTCAAACTGGTTTTATTTTTTTTCTCAGATGGAGGACTCATTGCTGTGATTGTTCTGACTGTACGTAAGTGTCCCAAACTTGGATGCCAATTTAAATCAAAATATTAACGTGAACAAGTGCATTTTAAACGATGTTTTAGTGTCTACAGTTTTCATAGATTGAAATTGAGTAAACCAGTCTAGAAATACCTGACCTTTTATATGATTCTACCTTGTGTTGGTGATTGTATAATCTTTTTTAAAAAAATATATTTTATTGATTTTTTACAGAGAGGAAGGGAGAAGGATAGAGAGTTAGAAACATCGATGAGAGAGAAACATGGATCAGCTGCCTCCTGCACACTCCCTACTGGGAATGTGTCCACAACCAAGGTACATGTCCTTGACAGGAATGATCTTGGGACCCTTGAGTCTGCAGGCCAACATTCTATCCACTGACCCAAACCGGTTAGGGCTGATTGTATAATTTTTTGTATTCTACATGTCCCTGTAGTAACAAATCCTAAATATTCCAAATATGTTTTGAGTATTATTCTAAATTAAGCACAGACTCTTCTCTGGATTACTGCAGACCCTGAGTGATACAAGGGAACTGCATTTAGACAGTGAAGAGTCCAGATAGAATATGAATGTATGTGGGCTTAAATAAAGTAATATTTCCGCCCACTGAAGCGTAACCAACATTCATTTCTTCTGCTGGACTTTAAAACTTGGCATTAGTTGTTAGAGTTACATGTCATTTGTTTTCTGGTTTCTTGCAGTTCTTGCTATTGCCGTGATTGGCACCTGTGTGTATAAATTTCTTCACGTCAAGAAAAGACAATAAATAAAACATGTTTTTGAACCTGTTGTTGCTTCTCATCTTGATGTATTTGTGCAGCTTTTGCTTGCACTCTGTGTTGCATGCTGCCTTGTTAAAAATGTTCTTGCGTGAGCATGCTGTCAGGATTGCACTTCCTTACTAAAATATTTTCACCTCCTTTTAATGTTACTGTAACAAGACGAATCTGTGCAGAGTTGTTTTAGATATTATGACCGTCAGGAAAACTTGTGGGGATTTGAGGTTTAAGTTCTGCAGAAAATCATGGCTCACTGTAGTGCCTCCCCTACCCTAGGTTTACACTATTCCTACGGTGGACTGGGAGCCAGGAGGAAATTTTAAATAGCTCACTGTGTGCCTGGCTGGTGAGGCTCAGTGATGGAGTTTCGATCTATGAACCAGGAGAGCACGGTTCAATTCCTGGTCAGGGCACATGCCCTGGTTGCAGGCTTGTGTGGGGCATACCGGAGGCAGCCAATCAATGATTCTCTCTCAACATTGATGTTTCTAGCTCTTTATCCTTCTCCCTTCATCTCTGAAATAAATAACATTATATTTAAAAAATAAAAGTAAAAAAATTAAAAATAAATAGTTCACTGGGGAGACTTTGACAATTCTATTCACTGTAATTTTTTGGAGGAAAGCTTCCCTGTGTCTGTATATATGAAGTAGTTGTAAGAAGTCATGTAGTCCTGTTTTCTCCTGAAAACTCGATTTCTTTTCATTTAGAGATTTTATTTGTACATGTTAAAGTGGGGAATTAAAAACAACATTGTTCGACTTTCCTCTTATGTTCTCCTAACGTAACTAGGTTGCAGTAAAGCTCAAGGTTAAACCTAAAGTTACTGAGAGGGGTAAATTACCAAGGCACCTCATTAACTTTATCTGCCTTTTTATCTATAAAAAATGGAAAAGGGGAAATTTAAAATAGAAAAAAATTTACAAATATATATCTTCTAAGGAGAATGGGAATTGTAAACATCACACTTAAATTTTAATGGAATCATTTACAATGTAATGAAAGATTTAGAATAACACCTGGAGCATAGACAAAGACTGAAATATTTGACTTTCAGCCATTTGTTTTCCCCTGTCATTTTGGAGATAGTTTTGAAATCAAACTAATCTTTTTAAAGACTTTTTGTATTTGTGGTTTAATAATATGTCTTCTATATTAATCATTGGGTTTGGGCTATGTAATAAGAGTACATTCTTCATAAAGAGCTTAAACTCTTTTTATAATATTGGTTATCTTTTTAAAATGCCCGCGGTGCCTTCATTTGAATCTTATATCATATTGTAGAACTCATGATAGGCGTATTCGATTTCTCTGTTTGTAGTGTATTTTTTAAAAAAAAATATATATATATATTTTATTGATTTCTTACAGAGAGGAAGGGAGAGGGATAGAGAGCCAGAAACATCGATGAGAGAGAAACATCGATCAGCTGCCTCCTGCACGCCCCGCACTGGGGATGTGCCCGCAACCAAGGTACATGCCCCTGACCGGAATCGAACCCGGGACCCTTGAGTCCGCAGGCCGACGCTCTATCCACTGAGCCAAACCGGTTCTGGCTGTAGTGTATTTTTAAGACGACATATACACAAGCAGTCTGAGTAGGAAATGCTCTCAGTGGAATATTTTTACAATTCCAAACAACTGATGTAGAAATAATTTCTAAAGAAAGCAAAGACAGGTGTGTGTCCCTCACTTTCTTTAAAACATCACTGCATCAAAATACTTAAAGGTTCTTAAACAAACATGATTCACACCCTCTAGCTGCCAGGTAAGGGCTCATTAAAGGTGAAGAGGTGGCTGAGCGCCGTAGCCCTGGATTCAAGGCTCAGGACCACAACTGACCTGAGGTTCCATGTCTGCTGAGCTCCAAGTGCTGCCGCTGCTGGGCCTGGACTCCTGTGAGTAACCAGGTGGAGACCACCATGGATGTGCGTGTGTTCTTGAAATATGAATAAGCACCTTCAAGTTTATGAGCAAATGTTTCTCCTGTTTTAGCTAATTGGATTTTTTAAAGACTCCTCACCTTGTGTACATGCTCCAGAAAGGAGGTGGGGTAACACTTAGCTTTACCTCCTTTCTTTTAGGGAAAGTTAAGATTTCCATTATATTCTCTGCACTGTTTAATGTCCATAATCTCTCCTAAAAAAAAAAAAAGAAAGAAAGAAAGGCTGCCATCATTTTAGAAACTAATTTATGAGACTCTAACGTATAGAGATACTTCTTTATTCCTAAGGGTAACTCTGGAAGCAAGGTACTAGGCATAGAGAAGCAAATGTTGCCGTTACAACTTAGTACCAGCCCTAGCCGGTTTGGCTCAGTGAATAGAGTGTCGGCCTGTGGACTGAAGGGTTCTGGGTTCGATTCCAGTCAAGGGCATGTACCTCAGTTGCATGCTCCACCCTGGCTGGGCCCTGGTCAAGGCTCGTACAGGAGGCAACCAATCAATGTGTTTCTCTCACAATGATATTTCTGTCTTTCCCTCTCTGTTCCACTCTCTCTAAAAATCAATGGGAAAATATCCCCGGTGAGGACTAAATAAATAAATAAAGACAAATCGCTAAAAACCAACAAACCTGGTACCATATGCCTTGATGTGAACTTGTACTTATGAAGGTTTGGAATGCACTTACCTTTCTACAGCCTAAGTATAAGTACTAAAGTAGAAAAATACCATAAGTACTCATGTTTAAGAGTATTAAACATATTTAAATCACTTGATGAAAAATGGCCATGAGGTAAGAAGATATATATCCTACCACGTATATAATGTGGGGAGCTAGTTACTCTAAGTTACAATCCAGAGTTTTTTAGCAGATTCTACAAAGGCCAGTGGGAAAGGCAATTTCTTGGAAAAAACAAAGTGGTGTCTTTAATCTCAGTGACAAAGGTGAAGACAAACATTCCTACTAGAAGGGCAGTCAGGGTCTCCAAGTCCCCTCTACTTGATTTCTTAGGATTCCTTGAGGCTAAAACCAACCAGTTTTCAGACTGTTGTGAGCTTCAAGGTGTCAGAAGTGCTCACAGTTAATTTAATGAATGCTGGCATTAATATAAAATAGCTGTAATTAGAAATTAAGTTTTAGCTCTAGCTGGTTTTGCTCAGTGCATAGAGCGTCGGCCTGCAGAATGAAGGGTCCCAGGTTCAATTCCAGTCATGGGTAAGTACCTCGGTTGTAGGTTCCTCCCTCACCCTGTCCCTGGTCAGGGTGCTTGATGTGTTTCTCTCACATTGATGTTTCTCTCTGTCTTTCCCGCTCTCTTCCACTCTCTCTAATAATCAATGGAAAAATATCCTCAGGTGAGGAATAAAGAAAGAAAAATGCAGCTTTAGATTTTCATTGTCTGCAAATACCTTCATTGTTTTATCAAATAAATGTTTCTTAAATTTATATTAATGCTCATTTATCTCATATAGTGGATTTTTATTTTAAAAAGTATTTGAATAAAAAGATTCTACACTTGGCCCTTGTTGCTCAGTGGTTAAGCATTAACCTATGTACCAAAAGGTCACAGTTCGATTCCAGGTCAGGGCCCATGACTGGGTTGTAAGGTGTGATTCCCAGAATGGGACATGCAGGATGCAGCTGGTTGATGTTTTTCTCGCATGGATGTTTCTCTCTTACCCTCTCCCTTCCTCTTTTTCTAAAATCAGTAAAAATATTTAAGAAAAGAAGATTTCTGCACCTCCCTGGTTAGTGCAGCATTCTTCACAATAACCAAGACATGGTACAACCTGTGTCCATCGAAGTGTGACTAGATAAAGAAAAGGTTATTTATGTATGTCCTGCCATTTGCAACAACATGGCTGGACCTTGGGGGCATTATGTTAAGCGAACTGAGTCATACAGAGAAGGACAAAGACTGTTGACCTCACAGATAGGAATCTGAAAACCAAACTCCTACAAAAAGAATTCATATTTGTAGTTGCCAGGGCCAGGGGATAGGGGCTCAGGGAAATTAGATGAAGTTGGTTAACAGTTATAAATTAAGCAAGTACTGGAATGTAATGTACAGCATGGTGACTATAATTACTCCAGTAATAGTGTACTGTATATTGGCAAAATGCTAAGAAAATAGATATTAAAAATTCTGATCACAGGGAAGAAAAAATATAACTGTGAGGTGATGAATGTTAATTAAATTTATTGTAGTTATTTCACAATATACACATTGTCAAGTATTATGCTATATATCAAATTTATACACTATGGCAATTATATCTCAATAAAAATTGGAAGAAGAAAAGATTTAGGAAGGAACGACTAGTTTCCTTTCCTATCATGAATGCAACTGTTAAGACATGAAGCTAACATTGCAATGTAGCTTGAGTATAGTCACCATCCTAAGATGCTTCTTTGAAATGGGTATGATTTTGGGTCTGAATATTTTGTCTGTTTTTCTTTAACATTTGCATTTACAGGGCAAGTCAACACAATATTTCTGGCAATATTGAGGGGGATAAGTGATTTTTTAAATAAAATCTCCAAATTTAGAATGAAATGAAAATACATTTTATTAGTATAGAAAGTTATTTTGAAATCATTTTGTTCAAAGATTGGTGCCAACTGTCAAGGTTAATTTTGTTCAACAGATGTTAGTCATCTCTGAATTAGTGTGCAGATTTAATGCAATTTCAATCAGAGGTCCAACGGCATTGTTTTAAATTTAACAACATAATTGTAAACGTTATGCGATTACAAAACAGAAGTGCTGTTAATATTTATTTCAAAGAATAAAATAATTGACATAATGCAGGAATAGAGATATAGACCCATAGAACAAAACACAGAGCCCAAGAAAAAGCACAAGTTTGGGTAAGATTTCGGCCGCAATAAACATGACATTTCAAGTCATGGAAAACTGGAATTATGTAATAAGAAGGCAACTATCTGAAAAAGGAAATTAGATCCCTGCCTCAGGTCATTCACCGAAGCCAAGTCCATATGGACGAAAGGTTAATGTTACAAATAAAAGGACGAGGTGGACATATAGACCAACATATTTCTGATTGGAGACCTCGATAAGCCTATAAGCAGTGCACCAGCATGTCCCTCAAACCTGCGCAGGTGGAGAATGGTCAGCTGACGGCGGGCAAGCGCAGAGCCCCAGCTGCCAGCAGACCCCCGGGTTAGAGCGCGGCCAGGCCACGCCCCTTTCCCTGCGGCTAAGGCTCCGCCCAGGGCCTTGGCCCCGCCTAGCGGCCCGCGATTGGCCCGCCCGCCTAAGCGTCACTTCCGCTCGGGCGTGGCCCAGGCCGTGCCCAGCTGTGGTTCCGCATTCCAGGTTTTGTAAGTCTGAGGGTTGCTGTGTTTTGTAAGTCTGAGGGTTGCTAGGTTTTGTAAGTCTGAGGGTTGCTGTGTTTTGTAAGTCTGAGGGTTGCTAGGTTTTGTAAGTCTGAGGGTTGCTGGGTTTTGTAAGTCTGAGGGTTGCTGGGTTTTGTAAGTCTGAGGGTTGCAGGTGGGGCGACGCCCTTCGTTTCCCCTGCTCACCTCCACGAAAATGACGGCTTCTCGCCGGCTGCGAGCGGCACCTCCTCGCCGTCCCTTCTCTTCTTGGAGCTCCGCTGGGATCCTGTTGGTGACGCTCGCGCTCCGGTTTCCCGCACCCACCGGTAAGGGCCTGGGGAGGGGTGCGCCCCGGAGTGGGCTGCAGCGGGTTGGGGAGCCGGCCGCCAAGTTTTGGGGAACTCGGAGTCATCTGCGGACTTTCAACTGGGGGCGGGGGGTTCTGAACCGAACCGCCACATTGTTCAAGGGTCAATTGTGTAGTTAAAGTAATGCTAAGAAAGCAGACTTTTTTTCAAAGTAATACCATTTTATTTTAAATGGCGTTCACTCGCTTGTAAAAATGCTCACTTCGCTAATATGAAGTCTTATATTTTGAACTAGTTTAGTCCATATTATTTCTATCTGTGAAATCCCAATACTTAAATAATAATTACCTCTGCCCATAGCATGTCTGCACTCCACTGGGTGCAGAGAGTAGCGGGAAAAGAAGGCAGATGACCCTGGCCTCTGGGAACTTGCCTCCTGAGAGGAGGCTGAGCCTGAGGTGACAAGTCACCATCAGTTTGCATTTCAAACTGTGGACGAGGACCCTGATCTGGGGCTGCATACTGTAGATGATGTCCTAGACCAGGGGTGGGCAACCTTTTTCTGAGTGCGCGCTAAAACCAGCAAAAAAATCTCTGACTCAAATTCTTCTGCGTGCCAATCCTAATTTTTTGAGAACATGTTACGCCTACTTGATATCTCTCAAGGTGTACGTATGTGAAGAACCTTGAAGAAATAATAAAATTAATTCGAACGACAAAAACACAGTATATGATGATGAAAAATACATTTATTTTTTAATGTATTCATGTCCACTGATAGTCCGACAGAAAACTTTATGACTCCGTTTGATATTATCAGGGGACTTTTGCTGCTGCATCACTGATGACAGAGATTTTATATCCGGTTTATATTTCGTGACCTTTAGAGATACGCACGAGCTACTACTTTCATCCGTCAGGCTACTCCTATTACGAGACTTAACAAAATTCATCACTGAGAACAAAGATTCACAAGTGTATGTGGATGAAAACATGGAGAGTAATGCTGTTGCAAAGTTTTTTAAACAGAACAATTTTTCTGAAATGGCATTCCAAGTCCTCAATAGTTCGTTTTCAACACTATTGAAATTGCTCTTCCACTCTCTCGTCAATCCATATCTATGGTCTTTAAGATAACTTGTTATGTAAAATTATTAATTTATCTAAGATGCACCTACACTGAATTTATCTGAAAAATAAAAAAGTCGATATTAAGAAAAAAATTGTAGCCGAAACCGGTTTGGCTCAGTGGATAGAGCGTCGGCCTGCGGACTGGGGGGTCCCAGGTTCGATTCCGGTCAGGGGCATGTACCTGGGTTGCGGGCACATCCCCAGTGGGAGATGTGCAGGAGGCGGCTGATCGATGTTTCTAACTCTCTATCTCTCTCCCTTCCTCTCTGTGAAAAATCAATAAAATATATTTAAAAAAAAAAAAATTGTAAATGGAAGATTATAAGAGAGGATTTCGCGTGCCAGCAAAAGTTAACTGGCGTGCCATGTTTGGCACACATGCCAGGGGTTGCCCACCCCTGTCCTAGAGCTAGGGGACAGGTGAGTGTGAAATGAACTGAGAAAAACTGGGGAAGGAAGCACACCGATAAGTCATTGAAAACCAAGACTAATGCTGCTGTCTCTTTAATTTACTGTTGAATGAATGTTCACTTTATTCCCTAAGAAACCATAAACTCACCAAGGACCTGCTGGCTGCCAGGCCAGAATCCGTGGCTGGTGGAAAAGAGAAAATACTTGACTTTCATGTCTTATTCTCTCATGCCCAGATGCCTGTGATGAGATACCAAAATATGACTCTATGAAAGCCAGGGGCAATCCTGTGCCCCCTGTAAGTGCTGGGTTTGCAGTAGAATATGAGTGTCGCCCAGGATACAGGCTTATTGTTCCTTTTGTTCGACCCACCACTACTGTTTGTCAGCCTGATGGCACATGGGCACCTCCTCGTCTACAGGAGGCCTGTACAAGTAAGTACACAAGACTTTTTATTTTTATTCTAATGATCTTCATACATTTTAGACGGCATATTCTACTACAGTGATGGTTTTCTCATGTGGATGTAGGTTTTAGATAGTCATGTATTTTTTTGTTGGTTGTCTGGGTAAATGTGAATCTTAAGTTTGGCCTTTTAATAGTTATAGAAAGAAAAATACTATTCTCACAATAGAGCAATGTGGAATTTTGGTTTTGATTCAGATCTGTTTTGGAGTTTGTATAAAACAACGAATTTTAAAAATTTCTTTCAGGAAGACAATGTCCACAGCTAGCAGAGTCCCTACATGGCCGTGTAGAAGGAAATTTTCAGTTTGGTTCACAGGCTAACTATTCTTGTGATGAGGGGTAAGTAGAGGAAATAAGTCAATGTTACTACTTCTATTTTTGTTTTGCTTCTCTTCTAAGTATTCCCATAATGTTGATTTAATTTTGCTTTGTGTGTGAGAAGTTGTACTTATAGCCCAGTGGTTCTCAACCTTCCTAATGCCACGACCCTTTAATACAGTTCCTCATGTTGTGGTGACCCCCAACCATAAAATTATTTTCGTTGCTACTTCATAACTGTAATTTTGCTACTGTTATGAATCGTAATGTAAATACCTGATATGCAGGATGTATTTTCATGGTTACAAATTGAACATAATTAAAGTATAGTGATTAATCACAAAAACAATATGTAATTATATATGTGTTTTCCGATGGTCTAAGGCAGGAGTCCTCAAACTTTTTAAACAGGGAACCAGTTCACTGTCCCACAGACCATTGGAGGGCCGGACTATAGTTAAAAAAAAAAAACTATGAACAAATTCCTATGCACACTGCACATATCTTATTTTGAAGTAAAAAAACAAAATGGGAACAAATACAATATTTGTATTTGCATGTGGCCCGCGGGCCGTAGTTTGAGGACCCTTGGTCTAAGGCGACCACTGTTTTTTAAATCACTTTCAGTCTATCAGTTCACTGCCCTCTGGCTCCAAGACTGATGAGAAATCTGTTGATATTCTTATTTAGAATCCCTTATACCTGATGATTCACTTCTCACAGCTTTTCAAATTCTGTCACTGGCTTTTGAAAGGTCAATCGTTATGTTTCTTAGTGTGGCTCTCTTGAGTTCATTTTACTTAGAGAATGTTGAGATTTTTGAATATTTTTATCTGTCTTCCATCAAATTTGGGAAACTTTCAGCCATTGTTTCTTCAAATATTTTCTTTGCCCCCTCCTCTCTGTCTTCTCTTTCTGAGAGTCCCACAATGCGTATGTGATCTGCCTATCGATTTTCCACAGGTCCCATTGGCTCTCTTCACTTGTCTTCATTCCTTTTTCTTTCCGTTCTTCAGACTCAATACTTTCCATTGGCCTTTCTTCCGGTTCACTGAATCATTTTTCTGTCTGCTAAAAACTACCTTTAATTCCTGTAGTGAATTTTTCATTTTTTTTTCCTTTATTGATTAAGGTACTACATATGTGTCCTTATTCCCCCATTGCCCCCCCCCCCCCAACCCCCCCCACACATGCCCTCACCCCCTGGTGCCTGTGTCCACTAGTTAGGCTTATATGCATGAATAGATAACCTTTGGTTGATCTCTTCGCCTTTTTCATTTAAGTTAGTGTACTTTTCAACTCCAAAATTGCCTTTTGGTTTCTTTTCAGGTTTTCCATCTCTGAATTGATATTCACATTGTATTCATTCTGTTAGGGTTTGGCCAGGGACATGGGCTGTGAAAGAATTCACAACTGAGAAGGAATAGATGCAGAGAGAGGCAGTTTATTTTATTTTCCAAGGGAGGAAAGGGCCAGGTGCCTTTTGGCAGCACAAGGGGCCCAAGGTGGGGGGTTGTTCTTCTATAAGCATATTAGGGAGTAAATGGCAGCTGTGGCAAATGGATGAAGAAGGGAGGGGGATCGGGGACTTCACCTTGACGTTTTACAGATCCTGGAGGCTGTCCTGGGAGCTATGGCTTGTTTGTCCTTTAGCCACAGATGTCCTACAGAGGTGTCTGTTAGCATCTTCACAAGCCTGTAAAACCTTCTTACAGGGAAAGTTACAGAGGGTTCAAGGCAGGAGCAGGGCGGCTTGGGTATGAAAGGTAGGGAGTAGAGCTCTTCTACTAACTAGAAACTTTCTGATGTAATTTCCCTGGAATCATTAAAACAGCAGCGAAGGGGGTAATGGGGGAGGTGCAGCCTGCTTTTCAAGCCTGCTTGAATAGAGAGGCACTTCGAATAGGGAAGTCTGCAATCTCCACATGCTTCTCATACCTTATGCAAGGTTACTACAAGGAAAAAGAGGCCTTTTCTTCTCCTTGTACATTCTTTTTTTTTCTTTTCTTGAATTTCACTGCCCTATCCATTAATTTCTTCCATTAGTTCTTCCATTAGTTCTTTGAGCATCCAGGTAGCAGTTATTTTAAAGTCTTTGTGTATTTGATCTGGAATGAGGTCTTTTTTTCAGGGATCATTTCTGTTAATCTTTTTTTTTCTTTGAAGGCACCATACTTTCCTATTTCTTTGTATGCCTTGTGATTCTTTTCTTGAATTGGACACTTGAATTCTAATAATGAGGTAACTCTGGAAATCAAATTCTCCTTCCCAGGGCTTGTTATTTTCTTAGCTCGTTTTAGTGTTTTGATTGTTGTAGGGTCGGAGGATCAGCCAGATATGTAAACTGAAGGTCTTCTCAGGTCTTTTCTGAGTCTTTCCCTGGGCCGGCACAGTCACCTAATTTCCCCCACCTGTGCATGTCCTAGATTTGATGTCTGTCTCCTGAAAGGGGAAAAAGCAAAAATTGAAAGGGGAGCAAAGGACACTGGATCCTTAAATATCTGGAAGTCACTTCAGTAGGCAATAAATGGGCTTGCAAGAGTAGGGGACATGTAACAATAATGACTGCCCACTTGCTGTCTTTGAGTTAGCGTTTCTTTGTGATCAGTAGTAGCAGTCAGTAATAAGTGCATAAATCCCTGGTATCTGTGAGGACAGAGTTCTTTTTTCACTCCCTGTTTTCTACAGGCTGTTGCTAAGCTGCCCCAGGAGCACGTGTATAGCTGCCTGCTGTGGGAGTGGAATGGGTAGCTACCATTGTGCTCAGAGCTGAAAATGACTGATATTAAATCAATTTCCATGTCCAAGTCCTGCCTTAGAAACTACAAACCTTTCAGGGACACTATAGTTGCAAAATAGTTACATCATGCACTTTTTAGCATTGTAATTGTTGTTTGGGAAGCAAGAGAGATTCTTGGTGCTTCCTACCTTATCATCATCCCCGACTTCTCTCCTAATCTGTAATAATAAAAGGGTAATATTCTAATTAGACCAGATGTTCTTCCTGATGACCTTCTGGATGAAGCCAGGGCTGCAAGAGAAGCCCTGGTCCCAGGTGCCAGAGAGAAAGAGAGATCAATTGTGAGAGAAGCCTTAATTCGTTGCCTCCTCTACACATCCAGACTGGATTGGGCCCGAAACCTGGGTGTGTGCTGACCAGGAATCAAACCACACCTTTTGGTGTACAGGAGGACACTCCAACCAACGGAGCCACTCTAACCAGGACCTGAGGAGTATTCATAAGACTTGAAACTTAGGGAGCACGTTCCACATGCTAATTCATCTACTCACAGCAATCCCACGAGGTATATACTGTTATCCTCTTCTCATAGATGAGGAACCTGAGAAAGAGAAAGGGACTTGCCCAGCTCCAAGAGCAAGTCAGTTGTGGGGCTGGACTCCAATGCAGGCAGGGAACCTCTCGGGCCTGACCTCTCTCCGCAGTCATTGTCCTGCCTGGGCAGATGGCATGAACTCGGGCACATGGGAATGTTGATGTGCCTGCTGCAGATAGCAGAGAGGCCAGACCGACAAGCACATGTGTAGATAGTTTGCTCTAGGTCAGTGTGTGCTCAAATGCAGCAACTCTCTCTTCCATTAAGTTATCGATTTAGTTAGTACTTTCATGATAGGCTATTTACGAAACTTTTCCCTCAAACTACTTTAGTGCAGAAAAACAACCATATAAAATTTTTCTTCGATATTATATGCATTGTGTTAACTGGTTAAAAAAACAGCACAACAGTAATCTGTTTTTCTTTTTATTTAGATATTACTTAGTTGGAACACCAGTTCTACGTTGTGTACTTGCTGGAGATGGGAATAATGTGGCTTGGAGTGGTGACCCCCCACAGTGTGAAAGTAAGTATATTCTGTCTTTAGAATTTCAAGCAGTTCCTAAACTTTTGGCCTTAATTTGACTTTATCCTTTTAAATTTAAAAAGACCCCCACATAGCTTTTCTTCAGTTGAGCTATGGCTATTGCTATTTTATTATATTGGAATTAACCTTGAAAAGTTTTAAAAATAATTATTTATTAAGAACAGTATGAACAATACATACTTATACACATATCTTTTAAGGAAAACCAACATTTTCAAAAAAGTGAAAATAGTGGCATTATTTTACATGTTTGCAAACTCATCAATATGCGGCTTCAATATAGACCTCGATTTGGGCTGATGCATTAACACACCATTTTCACATTTGGCAAATTGCACTACACACTCTTCAGGATGAAAAAGATCAGACTTTTTTTTCATAGAAACTGTTTCAAATAGATATTGGATATTCAACTAGAATGTAGAAATCATATGTTAATGAATTTATGGAAGCAGTTCATAAGGCATTACTAATGCTGTCTTAATCTTTTATCTTTTCTTTTGTGTTTCCTGTCCTCTTTTTTTATCTTTTTAAGAGATTTTGTGTCAACCGCCTCCACAAATAGAACATGGAATATTCAGCAATAGCCACAAGGATACATTTGAATATAATGAAATGGTAACTTACCATTGTAATCCTTCGAATGGGCCAGATGAATATTCACTTGTTGGAGGGAGCAGACTGATTTGTTCTGGGCCAAACAAATGGAGTAGTGACCCTCCTGAGTGTAAAGGTAATGACATTTTTATTTATTTTTTCATTTGTAAATAGTATGGAAATACTTTGTAAATACTTGACTAACAAGTAAACAGAATAGCTATATATGCTATTCTGGAACTGTAGTCAGCAGGAGGCTTGGGTTGCCCCCGGCGATGGAGGAAGCCAAGCTTTCCAGCTGCCCTGGCCAGCCCTAGGCTCCGCTCAAGGCTACAAAGTTTCAATTATAGAAGATAAATCCCAGATATCTGCTTCCAGCCCACCCTGGCCTCCGCTCAAGGAGGCACTGAAAAAAAAAGAAAAGAAAAGGAGAGACTGGGAGCTTGGGTTGCTGGGGGGTGTGGCCAGCCTGAAAACAGCCATCAGCCCCTCACCCAGGCTGGCCAGGCACCCCAGAAGGGATCCCAATCCTGAAGGGGGTGTGGCCAGTCTGAAAACGGCCCTCTCCCCTTCACCCAGGATGGCCAGGCACCCCATCAGGGACCTCCACCCTGAAGGGGGTGTGGCCAGCCTGAAAAAAGCCCTCAGCCCCTCACCCAGGCTGGCCACACCCCCATGGGGTGAGGGTCCCCGCTGGGGGCTTGGCCAGCCTGCAAACAGCCATCAGCCCCTCCCCCAGACTGGCCAGGCACCCCAGAAGGACCCCCACCGTGATCCAAGACACCATCCAGGGCAAACTAGCTGGCCCCCACCCATGCACCAGGCCTCTATCCTATATAATAAAAGGGTAATATGCAAATTGACCCAAACAGCAGAACGACTGGGAATGACTGGTCACTATGACACACACTGACCACCAGGGGGCAGACACTCAATGCAGGAGCTGCCCCCTCGTGGTCAGTGCGCTCCCACAGGGGGAGCTCTGCTCAGCCACAAGCCAGGCTGATGGCTGCCAGTACAGCGGTGGTGGTGGGAGCCTCTCCTGCCTCCTCAGCAGCGCTAAGGATGTCTGACTGCACCTTAGACCTGCTCCCCACTGGCAAGTGGATATCCCCTGAGGGCTCCCAGCCTGCCAGAGGGATGTCTGACTGCCAGCTTAGGCCCAGTCCCCCCAGGGAGCAGGCCTAAGCCAGCAGCAGGTGGACATCCCCCGAGGGGTCCCAGACTCTGAGAGGGCACAGGCTGGGCCAAGGGACTCCCCCCCGCCCCCCCCGAGTGCACAAATTTTTGTGCACCAGGCCTCTAGTCTAATCTAATAATAGACAAACATGCTAATTGACCGTATCTTCACTACACTTCCCATTGGCTAATCAGCGTGATATGCAAATTAACCGCCAACAAAGGTGGTGGCTTATTTGCATATGTAGGTGCCAAGCAATGGAGCGAAGCCTGTTGGCCCTGGGCAGGAGCAGCAAGCGAAGGCCGGCGTGGCGAGCGAAGAGCGAAGCCCGCCACGACAGCCTCTCCCGGCGAAGAGCAAAGGCCTGGGTTCCGGGCACCGTTGGAAAACTGGTGCCAGCAGCCAGGGGAAGGGGCCCCCGAGGGACTGGACTGAGGGACCCACCCGAGTGCACAAATTTTTGTGCACCAGGCCTCTAGTCCTATATAATAAAAGGCTAATATGCAAATCAACCAAACAGCCGAACGACTGGTTGCTATGATGCGCACTGACCACCGGGGGCCAGACGCTCAATGCACAGCAGGAGCACCGCTCAGCCAGAAGCCAGGCTCACAGCTGGTGAGCACAGCAGTGGTGGTCAGAGCCTCTCTTGCCTCTGCAGCAGCGCTAAGGACCCCTTGGAGTGTGTCTGATTGCAGGTTTAGGCCCGCTTCTCCTAAGCCAGCAGTCGGACATCCCCCGAGGTGTCCTGGACTCGAGGGCACAGGCTAGACTAGGGACCCCCTGCACCAGGCCTCTAGTTACAATATAAATATGAGCGATAGACTTGAAGAAGATATTTGCAAAGCACATGTATATAGATCTCTGAAAACAAGTAAGAAAACAACCAATTTTTTAAAAATGGGCAAAATATTTGAATAGACCTTTTCCACCAAAGAAGATGTATGGGTGGCAAAAAAGTACATGAAAAGTTACTCAATGGCATTAGTCACAGAAATGTAATTTAAAAGCACAATGATATACAACTAAACACCTATTAGAATGGTAAAACTAAAAGGGAAAAAACCATACCATTACAAAGATATGGAGTAATTAGATCTCTCATACATTGAAAGTTAAGAATCAAAGTGGTATGTGTATTTAAGAAAGCATTTGATGATTTGTTATAAAGTTAAAGATGCACTCACCGTACAACTTAGCAATCCAAGTAAATTAATCCAAGTAAATGTTCACATAGAGCCCTATTATGAGAATATTTATAGCAGCCTCATAATCGTCTCACATTAGAAACAGCCCATCTTTCTCAGTTGGTGAATGGCCAAACAACCATGGTGCATCCATATAATGCGATAATGCTGCGTAATATAAAGGATTGCGCATCTAATCTTACAAGTACAGAAGTGAATCTCCAATGCATTATGCTAGGTGAAATAAGCTGTACTCAGAGGCTGTGATCCCATTATGACATTCTGGAAAAGAAGCATTACAGGGATAGAAAACAGATCAGTGGTTAGCTGGTGGAAGGTGGTTGAGGGATGGGGACAGGGAGAATTGATTACAAAGTGGCATGAAGGAATGTTGGAGGTAATGGAACTTTTCTGTGTCTTTACTGTGGTGATAATTACATGGTTAGTATTTGTGTTGATCAAACCTCATTCAGCTGTGCATAAGGATGCATTTTAACATATGTAGGTTATATCCAGTAATTCTAAATTACAGAAACAATTTCTGTGATTAATATCAGTTCAGCACAACAAGGAATAGATCAATGAACTTGAAGTGAGGACAGTTGAAACCAACCAGATGATTTGAAAGAAATATTTTTTATTATATCTAGAAAGACTTATAACCTGGGGAACAACTAGCAGTCAAATATGCATGGAGAATAGCAAGGAGTCAAGTATGCATGTCATTGGAGTTCAGAGAGAGAGGAGAAACAACAGTATAGGTGATTATTTGAATAATTATCCACATTTGATCCATAACAACCACCCCACAAGTCCAGGAAATTCAGTGACCCTAGCAGGATAAATAAATTTTGAAATTTTACCAAGAACCCCCCGCTGAAGTAACCAATCATGGTAAAACTTCTGAAAACAAACAAAAAGCAGCCAGTGAGAGGGGGAAAGCAACACCAACATATTACATTCGCCCCACCCCTCTCAGTAAGAATGACAGCTGACTTCTCTTAAGGAACTTGTAACTAGAAGACAATAACATCTACTAAACTGCTGACAGAAAAATAAAACAGGACACCTAGAAATCTCTGTCAAGGGAAAATATTACTAACCTACAGTTGTGAGCGTCTGCCCCCTGGTGGTCAGTGCACGTCTTAGGAACTGGTTGAGCTGTAGACAGAATGATGGACCTAGGGGTCGGACACTTAGCTTATTACACTTTTATTAGATAGGATAGGGTTACTGGCTGTGTTCCCTATGCTGTACTTTACATCCCCGTGACTATTTTGTAACTGCCAGTTGCTACTTCTTAATCCCTTCATCTTTTAAGGAGAAATCTTTTAAAACTGAAGGTGAAATAAAAACTTTTTAAGGTAAACTAAAGCTAAGGGAATTGTCACCACCCTACCCGCACTACAAGAATTGCTAAAGGACGTTCTCTTGGCTGAGGGGAAAAGATACCTGATGGACATTCAGGTCCACATGCAAAGAGGAAGAGCTCAGTCCAGTTTATTCTCATAAGATGCTCTCTGTACTCACTGCCAGTCAGTGTTTTATTTTTTTGCAAATTCTGCCAAACCCATTACTGGATCCTGAAATCAATCTAGAAGGTCAGGACCAGGGTTTTTGTTCTTGAGAAGTAGAGTACAATGGGAAATACCAGAGTCTCAGTATTAACTTTTAACTTTATGTCAGGCCTGTAGGATTACATACTGGTTTACAAAGGAAAACGTCGTTTTTGGTTCCTGGGTTGGAAGCCAAACTGTATGGAAACACTGCCCTGGCTCCTTGGCCTTTCTGTGTCTTGAACATCCCAGTTCTTGTCTGTTGTCAGTCCCTGAGAACCTTCTCTCTGCATCTCTGCAGAGCCAGCTGCTTTCCAGCTTTCACATTTGAGCGGAAGCGTTTTCTCATCACAAGAGCCTCTCCTGCCTTGGTACAGAAGCAGGGCACTGGACTCAGTGTCAGCGTGAAATTGTAACAGAGCCCTAGGGCCAAAGAGCATCCAAAGGCTGTGTTTGAACTTACTAGGAAATTGTCCCTGGGAGGCAGACCTTTCTCAAAGCTTGTCAATACTGGGGGGAAATGTAGGAAAGCCAATAAACCTAATGACATCTCTTCTAGGTGGGAGAAGATGTTGGATGGCGTGAAATCTATTTACCTGGAATTAAAATGCAGGAGTAAAGTTTTTAAAAGAAGAGGAACATCCTGCCTTCCATTCCTTCCCTCTTTGTTCACAGTGGAAATGACTACCTCGCACTTGGTTTTCTCTCCTCGGCTAAAACAGCTTTTCATTAATTCTGAAATTTCTTCACTTTTCAGTGGTCAAATGTCCATATCCATCACTCCCTGATGGAACTATTGTGTCAGGATTTGGGAAAAAATATTACTACAAAGCAGGAGTTGAGTTTGAATGCAACCAGGGTTATTCCCTTCAAGGCAGCCGCAAAATTGTCTGTGAAGCTGATAATACCTGGGTACCTGAGATTCCTCGCTGTGTTCAAGGTACAAAGAATGTCTTTTACTTTCTTTTCCTGTTTAGATTTTATGTCTTTGAAATATAAGTGACAGAGTAATTGAAGTGAAGCAGTTTTAGTATTTATGTCTTAACATGACACATGTCAAAGTCACAAAGAATTCTGCTTTTGTTACTTGTGTATTTTCATAGGGTTGGCACTTTATGTATATCACACAGGCTATAAATTTTTCTTCTTTGACTTTATGTGTACTGCATAGCAGCCATCTTTAAGAAAATTGCAGCATGGATATTTTCATCTGAATAAGTTAAGAAAGAAAAGACCTTGATTCCTAAGCGGTTAATCCAGTCGAAATTATTTTCTTTTCCAATGTTGACTTCCCCTCCTCCCAGTATCACACCACCGATTTTGAGCCCTTCAGATTTAGTAACATCCTACTTACACTTTCAAAACCTTTTAAATTCCTGGTGATTTTTAGAAATCATTTCAATTCCTAGGTATTTTTTCATAATCCTTTAACTATCTGGTGATTTACACTCATTCATCAATTTTAGTAATGAAAGGCGGCAGCACATCTTTACAGCCATCCTACTTGTTTTACGTAATGATTCTAAACTTACTTTCCATGGTCCTCAGGTGGAAACAGCTCTGTTAACTTGGCAAGTTATGTAAACTTTAAATGTGTTTATTTACATGTAAAATTGTTCACTGCCTTCCTCACTGGATGGCAGGAACCTCTAAGTGGGATCCATTAAAACATTTAGCACAGTATCTGGCATATCCTAGTAGGAAGTTGTTAAAGGAAGCTACATGCCTTAACAGCATCACTCCAGTACGTCAGTGAACAAGAAGATCCATGGCTTTTGTTTTTTAATGTTTGTTTTCTGTCATCAACGTTGCTATTTTATCCATTTTAAAAGTGATCTATCTGATGACACCTTTACAGGGTATCTTCCTGATCCAGGACAAAGTTTCATTTCCTGGAGTGCAAACAGTTCCATTCTTTTTCTATAGTGCAATTTCAACTGGTATTTTCGGGTGGTGTCTCTAGAACAAGACATTGTTACTACCCTCCACTCCCATCTCATACAGTTATTCTTTTTGTCTTTACTGGGTCCTTTTTTTTTAAATCCTCACCTGAGGATATGCTTATTGCTGAGAGAGAGAGAGAGAAAGAGAGAGAGAGAGAGAGAGAGAAAGGGAGGGAGGGTGGGAGGGAGGGAGGGAGGGAGGGAAGGAAGGAGGAGGGAAGGAAGGGAGGAAGGAAGGGAAGGAAGGGAAGGAAGGAAGGAAGGGAAGGAAGGGAAGGAAGGGAAGGGAAGAGACATCAATTGGTTGCCTGCCATATGCAACCCAACTGTGGATCAAACCCACAACCTAGGTATGTGCCCTGCCTGGGAATTGAACCTCAACCTTTTGTTTTATGGGAACATGTTGTAACCAACTGAACCACCTGGCCAGGGCTTCACCAGCATTTTCATTTGGGAATAGAAACTAAATTTTATAGCAACTGAAATACAGGGAAAAAACTTACTTATTGAAATGAAATGGAGGACTTGTTGCATGGACTACTCATCAATGGCTCAGCCTAAGACTTGAGAGATTATTTTCATGTGGTGGAAGGAGTTGTCTTCCTGATTTCAGTGCTGCTTTCTTTGGCTTCTTGGTTTCAGCAGAAACAAGAGACAGGAGCAGTAGTGGGAAGAGCATTCGCCTGGGCTGACCTCACTAAGGGCCCTCGATTGGTTCTGCTTTCTCATGCAACATCATTTCTGTGGGCTTTAATTTCCTATTGGTTGAGGGTGTTGAACTCAAATCTCAATCAGTGGCTTTCAATTTGCTTGTATATTTTCTGTTTTCCTAAGATCTTAAAAATTGAGGGAAGTTACGCATGTTAACATGGTAATTAGAACACCTTTTTATAATCCCTGTGTATGTGGCCCCTGGTAGTCTCCTTGAGTGTCTCAGTTGAGCGCTGTGAGGTCTGGGGAGTGGGGTGAGAAGAGATGGTTTTTGCATGTGAAGTTTATACTCATTGACCCATCGTGTTTATGCACATGTCCTAGTGGGTATATGCACTGTGGGATACTGTTTGTTGATATACTCTTTTGAACGAGTTAACCATGAGAATTCATAAAGGGTTTATAAAACACCTTTATAATTTAGCATTTGAAAGAAGAGCAAATTGATTGTGAGAAAACTTTATAATAAACTATAGGGGTTTTGTATTTTTAATAATTTTTTTATTGTTGAAAGTTTATATAGTTTTTATATGCCCACTTCCCCCCCCCCCCCCCCATTGACTCCTTCCAGTCTCCCTCCCCTCAACCCAGGCCAAGTTTATAAACTATAGAGTTTTTTATTTTTTTTAATATTTTTTATTGATTTCAGAGAGGAAGGGGAGGGAGAGAGAGAGAGAAACATCAGTGATGAGAGAGAATCATTGATTGGCTGCCTCCTGCAGGTCCCACATTGGGGATCTAGCCTGCAACCCAGGTATGTGCCCTGAACCATGGTCTCCCTGGTTCATGGGTCGACGCTCAACCACTAAGCCAGTGGTACTCAATCTTCCTAATGCCGCGACCCTTTAATACAGTTCCTCATATTGTGGTGACCCCCAACTTCATTGTTACAAATTGAACATAATTAAAGCATAGTGATTAATCACAAAAAAACAATATGTAATTATATAGGTGTGTTCCGATGGTCAAAGGGGTCGCGACCCACAGGTTGAGAACCGCTGCCGACTAAGCTATGCTGGCTGGGCAACTATAGCATTTTTTTAAATATCAAAAATCAAAATTTTTCATGGGCCTGTGAAATATAATTTATTAGTTAAAGAAAGAATCAGTAATAATGTAATAATGATAAGGTAGGTCTAATTCTGCTTATATGAAAAAAATATCCAAAAAGTACTGAGTGAAAAGAAAAGGATAGAAATGATGTACTGTAGCATAATGCTGCTTGAATGGTATTTTTGAAAAGAAACATATGTTTAGCCCTGGCTGGTGTGGCTGGGTTGGTTGAGCGTCCTCTCAAACACCGAAAGGGTTGCTGGTTGGATTCCTGGTCAGGCCACATGCCCATGTTGCAAGCTCAATCCACTATCGTGTTATGTTCATGAGGCAAACGGTCAATGTTTCTCTCACATTGATGTTTCTTTCTCTCCTCTCCCTTCCTCTTTCTCTAAAAATCAATAATAGCATATTTTAAAAAATAATAAACATGCAAATGGTTATTTTGATCACTTTTAAAAACTATTTTTAGTTAATTTCTGTTATTTCCATTATAAATACAAAGCTGTAGTGAAGATTCTACTACATTGTTATGTATTTTTAAAATACATATTTAGATTAAATGCCCAGAAGTAGAATTGCAAAGTTCAGAAAGTATCTGAATTTTTTATTTTAATGACTAATTAATATTTTTTAAAAATAAAAATTGAATTCATAATATTGTATTGATAAGGCTAATGAATGGTATCAAAATTGTTTTTGCAGATGGCAAGCCTGTTCAACCAACCAAGGCTCCAGTTCCAGGTAGTCCAGGTTCAAAAACTCTTTGTCCTACTTCTACTGTTAAGAAGTTTATAACATGATGGGTGGAAAATGAAGCCATGTATTAATTTTCATTTCTTTAATTATCAGATAAGCTTTTTGGTCTACGTTACTTATTTATGTCCTTTGTTCTGTTAGGTTTCTTAATTATTTGTGTTGATTTATCAGAAGTCATTATAAATTTAAGCCTCTTTTACTTGAAGTGAACATTGTTTTCTAGGTTCCCTTCCCCCCCGGCCCCCCTTCGTTATTTTTACCAGTCAGTGTCCTTTTAAGAATTTTATACTATTGGGTATAGATTGCTTTATAGAACTTTCAATTACATAAGTAGTTGTATATGAATATAAATTTCTAGAATTTCAAATATGACAGAGTAAAGAATCTCCTCTTACTCTAGTCCATTTTACAGTTTCTATACATTAATATCCTATATATGTAGATCTACATATTTTGTCAATTTTTTTTTTTTATCTTAAAAACAGCATCATGCTGTTCATGTTTTCCTAAAACTTTTTACATGTACCATCTTAGATTTGGGTTTGTATTTAGATTTATTCCCATCCTTTTAATGATGACTTTAATATATGCCATATTTTACTCTTGCAATGGTCATTGATTGTGCAGAAGCTTTCCATTTATAGGTTGCTAGCTATATCCATCACTTCCCTAATGGCTGGCTATGAGTGTTGTGTCTTTTTATAAAAGCTTTAGGTCTACCCCACACTTCAGTTACATATTCACAGACCTAGAACGAACTGTCCAAAAATTCATCTGGAATAAAAAAAGACCCCGAATAGCTGCAGCGATCCTGAGAAAGAACAACAAAGTTAGGAGTGATTTCAGTACCAGATATCAAGCTGTATTACAAAGCCATTGTTCTCAAAACTACCTGTTACTGGCACAAAAACAGACATATAGACCAATGGAATAGAATAGAGAGCCCAGAAATAGACCCAAACCACTATACTCCATTAATACTTGACAAAGAAGACAAGAGCATACAATGGAGTCCAGACAGTCTCTTCAATAAATGGTGTTGGGAAAATTGGGCAGTTACATGCAAAAAAATATGAAACTAGACTACCAACTCACACCATACACAAAAATAAACTCAAAATGTATAAAGGACTTAAATGTAAGGTGGGAAACCATAAAAATATTAGAGGAATCCACAGGCAGCAAAATCTCAGACATATGCCAGTCACCTTCTAAATAATTTCCTTTCAATGTACATGAATCCGTGCACCTGGCCTCTAGTCAATTTATAATATTTTATAATACTACTTTAAAATAGGAACATTAATATAATTTATATGAAGAAAATAAGATAAGAGTATTCATTGAAAGATAAAAATTCTAAACTATAATTTAGAGGTCTTAATCTTTATTATTGTCTTCTTTCTCTTTTTACTTATTTCCTTTTTTTTTTCTTTTTTCTAGGACGCCCCACTCCTAGTGATAAAACACCATC